TGTTCAATGATCAAAGACAGCTGCCATGTGACTTTAGTTAACACTTGGAAATGCTAGGAGCCAGAGGCAGACAATTTTGTTTTTTCACGCTGCACACATGACCTCTCCTCTGTGCACCGTCTCCTATTTTTTTTTTATTTTTTTAAAGATTTATTTATTTATTTATACAAGCACTGAGTACAGTCAGAAACGCAGGAGGGTGAGAGAATTCACCAGAGCCAGAGCAGAGAGCAGAACAGGCAGACTGACAAAGTACACTGCTGAGGGAGCAGCGGGTGGCAGGAGAGGTCTGCGCGCCATATGGGACCCTCAACCGGTGGCCAGGGATCGAACCGGCGCTGCAGAGGCTGAGGGCAGCTTTGCAACCCAGGGTTTAACCACTGCGCCATAGGGGAGGTCCACACCTTCTCTTATTAATGGGCACCTTGGTTGTGTGTGGGGTGCGGTGGGGAGAGGAATGTGGTTATAAGTAATTCCTAGAGATTAAAATTAGTCTATTATACAGTTGTTTAAAAAAACATTTTTCATTGGTTTTAAGGTATTTGTAATTTAAAGTTAATAATCGCTAAACCTCTGATCAATCCTTCCTATAAATTAAGTCAAAAGTGCAATGCTTAACACTTTAAGTAAAGGCAAACATTAAGCTGCAAGTCTATTTTCTGCTGCTATTTCTCTCCTTGTCACTTGGTCTTTCTTCCAGCTTTATCTCAGAGGCTTCTGATGTCCAGTCTTCACCAACTTCTGCTCCTCCATCACCGGAGGACATGGTGAGTCTTCCTCTTTGATCTTCTTAATTTCATCCACCCCACTACTTAACCCCACTTTCACTATTGGGTCAGAATCCTCACCCAGCTCTTTTTTCTTTCACACTTAGAGTACAATTAATACTATAGTAACATGTTTGGGGCTTAAAAAGCTTTTGGACCTCACCAGAAAACCCAGATTATTTATTATATTGACAGTTCTAAGTTTTAAACAAATTACTTAGGGCAAATGATTTAGAAGCAACATTTGAAATTCAGGAATTTCATAAGTTTCCTGTAGTAGGGCAAGGGGAATTAGATTTTGCAACAGTTTTTAAAGTTTGCCAGCGAAAAAAGACAGACAGCTAATCTCCCTAGCCCTACTCTCACCCCTACCCTCATATTCCCACCAGAGAGATTCAATTATGGTTCCAGTGAAGTTCCTAAGGAGCAGCATGTGTCAAATAAGGCAAATTTTGTAATACAGAAATGAAGCACCACTTGTGTTAATTTTTATGACAACCTTAGTTTCCCATAGTGAAATCTAGTTCTATGCGGCCACTTCTGTCTCATATCTGCTAGCCACCAGGGACTCCTCACAGTGCTCTTACCAGACAATAAGTATGAAGTAGGCAGAGGTTGGGGATTTTCATGTCAAAGATCCCATTGAGTAAAAGGGATGAAGAAATGTTAAATTAACAAATGTGGAGAATTTTGGGCCTCAAAATTCACAGCTCAGTGATAAGCCTGTGATTCTTTGCAGAAAGAGTTTAATAAAAATCCATTATAGGAACAGCTTCCCGAATGAACAGAGAATAGGTTCATGGAGTTGCTTGTATCTATATAATTGAAATCCTCACTATTAGGACTTTTAGCAGCATTGTAAGAGGAAATTCTCAGCCAACAGATTTTGCTGATCCATAAGGTATACAGAACTCAGAGAAAAAGAAAAAAAAAAAATGTAGTTTCTATTCCTGACAACACTAGCAGCTAGTAGGAAGCAAATTCTAGATGCAGATGTGTTAATATTAAACCAATATTATACAGTTCATGTGTTTAATGCCAATAATAGTGACTTAAAATATAGTGGCCGTGGGACATTCTAATTAACTTTTAATAAGATTAAATCCTTGATCTCTTAAAGTCAATATTCAAATGACTTAATATATTAAGCAGATAAATATTTTGATGAAAGTTTCTAACACCTAACAAAACAAACAGAATGACATCTGTGAATTCTTCTAAAAGTCCCAAAGTGACTATTTGTTACCCTTGTATTTTTATTTAAAATATTTTCTTATTAAAAACCGAACTAACCAAAATTCCACAAGCTACAATGTATTAGCCCTACTAATTATTTTCTCTCACAATTATTATTTCTCTCATAATTACACAGGAGAGTAACTTGAATGGAAGTAAAGATAAAGGTGGGTAGAAAATGACTAATTATCTAGCATTCAAAGATAAATCTCTGGATTAACATAGTGTGTGTGTATCACACTGCTTCTTCCAAAACTTTTCAGATTGGGAGTGTAAATCCATAGTATTTACCATTAGCACAATTATCTCTGATACTTCTGGTTCTATGTCAATAAGTGACTTTGAAATCCATTTGGGTTCTAATTTACTAATGGCAAATCTTGGTAAGAAAGATTTGGAAATTCAAAACAATGCTTAGCATGTTATTTGGTGAAAGGAGAGAAAGAAAAAGGACAGTGGCTTGAGACAAGTTTTCATCTGAATTTTGCCTAAATCTCTTCTTTGGGCCTGGATCAAATAAGGATGGTAATTACACCTGACACCAGAAAATGTGAGTATTGCCCTTTGAACCTCTCAGTGAAGCCTGCACTATACAACTGCAACGTCCTAGGACTAGGATATTCCAAGAACAATATTTTGCAATTCTAATTTATAGAGAAGGGAAACAGATGAAGACACAAACACATTTCTTCCCTACAAAAAATGAAAGTCAGTCTAACTCAAATTCAGACACTGCCATTAAAGAATGTAAATAGTAAAAACAGAAACCATTTTCTTTATAAGGTCTGATTTGTGATTATTTTCATTATAGAAGTCACATCCAACTCTCAGACCTGTACTTTTGTTCAAGTGTCACCATTTGTGTAAGCCAAGTAATGACCAGAACATCCTTTAATAATCTGTAAAATGGGCATAATCTCTTTTTTCATTCAATTTAGTAGACCATTGTGAGACTTCAAGAAGGCAATGTATGTGAAGTGCCATATATTCATTAGGTCTTAAACATAAGTTTTACCATATGCTGTGAAGCAGGAGGCGAAACAAGGTCCCTGAATCTTCTCCAACATGCCTTTCCAGGATCCAGATTGAAGTTCAAGGTTCCTTTGTGGACATTAAAATACAGAGATCCTAATTAAATGAAGTCAGGAGGTTAGAAAGAGCATGCCCAAGCAAGCTACAAGACCCAACACACCCTGCATCTCCCATGGGAGGTGATGCTGCTTCTCCTCAGGGAACATTGAGGTTGAGTTAACCTAGATTTGGAGAAGTGCAGGGGGTCTCACCATGAACACACTCCCCTATCCGCCTTCTTTTCTGCTGTTTTGTTTCTGAATATACCTATTTTTTTAAATTTAATAACTGGCTATTTATTTGAGGTTTCTATTTACTTTTCCTTCTGTAATGCACTAACAGGTCATCCAACATCCCATCAGCCTGTTCTCTCATTCTAATGAGTCTTCTTCCCTAGCTAACTTTAAGGTCCCTTAATAATACATGTAATGACTATTCAATGCAGTGTGTGTGTAATAATATGATTTATATATTTATTTCCTAAGTAGATTAATACATAATAATGCAGAAAGTTGAGAATAGTCAGATCCAGTTTTGCTTGCCTGAACTTGGAGTCAGATGTCCTGAGTTCTAAACCTGGCTTGGTTCTTCTCACTGCAAAAGTCTATTCCCATCTCCAGGTTGCTGATCTAAAATGCCGAGGTTTGTCCCAAACAATACCCATATCAGAATCATATGGTCTGCTTTTTAGGAATGGAATTCGGGAGTCCCACCTCTGTCCAGTTGCTGAACCACAACACTCTGGGTAGTGCCTGGTAATATTTTAAAAGCTCCTACAGTGATTCTCGGGCAAACCAGTGTTTTAGACACTATCTTCCAGATTCTAGACGACATATAAGAATGGCAAAGGGGCCAACGTCTGGACCTGCAGCTCTGACATTATCTGAGAACTTTTTGGCAATGAAGAATCTCCTCTTAGCTCCCAGACCTCCGACTCCGAATCTGTATTTTAACAACACCCCCTTGTGATTCTGGTACATGCCAACGATTTGGTAAATTCTGCTGTACTTAGGTTATCACCAGCGACGCTTTACAATCTGATATCTGGGCCCCACCCAGAGATTCTCAGCACTTACTCTGGATTCTGGGGTGCGGCCTGGGCAAAGGGCTCTTACAAGCCTCCCAAGCTATTTTAATGTACAGCCAAGGCAGAGAACCATTGTCCCCCAAATCACAACCCTTTACGGTGAAGCCACAATCTGAGTTAAACTGGCTTTTGTGGGCTTGCCCAGCGCCCTAAGGTCCACTTGGAGCAAACAGTATTTTTAAGGAACAATGGACTCTGGAGAGAAACAAGTTCAACCACACAGCTCTAGGTTCGCTAACCCCGAGGCGCGGGACTTCCTGTACCTTCCCTTCAGCAGCAGCAGCAGCAGCAGCAGCAGCAGCAGCAGCACCAGGGCGCAGAGCCCGAGCCAGTCTGGGGGGCCCCACCCGGCCCCGCCCCTCGTTGCCCCTCCCTCCCCCGTGACGTGCCGCAGCGGGCCGGGCTCATGCGCACTCGCGCCCCGCGCCCCGCGCTGCTGCTCCGCCTCGGCGCTTGTCATTCTCCGCGGCGCGGCGGCGAGTGCGGACTGCGGTACCTGCGCGCTCGCTCTCCCGCCGGCGCGCCGGCGATGTGCCGACCGCCTGGGAGCGGGCTAACGGCTCTGCCGGCGACGGCGCCTCGGCTTTGCTCTGGCCCGGCTCCTCGTTGAGCGACTCCCTCGGAGCCGGAGACGCGCACCCGGGCTCGGAGCGCGCACTCCGGGACCCGCGGCAGCTGCCGCGCTCGGGTTCGCGCAGCCGGGTGCAGTCTCGGTCGCCGCCGCCGCCGGGCGGTGCGCCCTGGCAAGTGCCAGGCGCGGAGCACGGCGGAGCCCAGGCGGCTGGTGCCAAGCGGCAGCGCCTCGCCCGGCACCCGCCGCGGCTGCCCGGGCAGTGCGGGGCCAGACTGGCTGCGCGCTGCGGAGCGCGGTCCCCGAAGAAGGCTCCCCGTCTCCCGTGCCCCAGTAAGTTGACTGTAGTTTCTGAAGTTGGAGGGAACCGTGGGAAGGGGAGGTTCGCTTTTATTATCTTCACCTTGCTGGAAGCTGGGGGTGGCACTTGTTGTTAGCAGGACTCCAGCTCCGGGGAGTTCAGGGTGCGAAGGAGCGGGCGCGCGGGCGGGGAGAGGCTGCAGCCCGGGGCGAGCCAGCTCTAGCCTCTGTCGCATGTGCCAGTTGGAAATGTGCATTGAGAGGACAGGTGCTCCCAGGGCATTTCGCTTACTGCTGATGCGCATTCTGAGCTCCCTGACTCTGAGTGTGGTCGTGGTGGGGTGTGTGAGTTTGGGGGTAGGGAGGCAGGGTGTTCTCTTCTTCTGTCCTCAGTCCTCACGGGAATGACTCCAGTGATATTCCTGGATGCAGCTTTTGGGGATGAGAGCTGAGCCATTACTACCCAGGTCTCCAAGCTTCCTGCGCATCCCGCTTTACTACTGTCCTAGGCAGAAGTTGCCAGCGTTTCCATAATTGGAGCCCAACCCTTTAAGGAAAAAAAAAAAAAAAAAACTTATATATCAACCTAGTGTGTTGTTGTAAAGCAAATAAAATGAGAACTCTGCACTGTGTACTCGATTTCATATCCTTTAAGAATGTGGATAAGTCTCAAAGAAATCAGATTAAGATGACACTTGGGTTTTGCCCTGACTGTCCTGCACCTCTTATGTAAGCCTCCCGGAGGGATAACTCTGTCTTTCTGCAGTGGCTGCAGCTGTGACTCTCCATTCCATTTGTTTAAGGTCCAGCTTGAACAGTAGTTAATGAAAATGCTGACATGATATAGCGGCCTGTAGTCTGAAACAGAGTGCACTCTTCAAATTGGAGTGTCTTCTAATAGGGAGCACGCGAGGAAAAACCCAGTGTATTTTTCAAGGCAGCTCCAGGAATTGGACACATAAATCATGTTTTAAAATAGCATGCATTGTGCAGAGAGCTTGCAGAAGCTCCCTTTTGAACACATCCTTTGTTTTAGAAAAAGTGAAAATTGTTCGTACCAGAAAATTGTTGAGTCTGAAAGTTAAGTGTACTGATGGGCTTAATTATCTTAATAAACAAACAGCATAATTTATAGGTAGCTGCCCTGCCCTACTTTGAAGGATAGAATTCTTTAACCTTTCTTTCTCATCTGTCCCCTAGAGATTCCTTTTAAGCAAGAGATTATTATCATCTTTGATCTCCAATAGTTGAGTTGATTAAATTTGTAAAAGGAACATTTTGAAATAACATATAGTTATAAGATACTGAAACTTAGAAATAAGGGGTTTCACAGATTATTTTGTATGGAAGTCAAAACCAAACAGATAATGCTGACTGCCCTAATATATATATAATACATTAATAAGTATATAATATATATACTTAAATATATTATAGTTACATATATTATACTTACATATATACACTTACATATATATATACTTACATATATTATATATATATATAGTTTTTTTAACTTGGACTTGTAATAAGCCACAACTTGTAATAATTGTTTCAGCCACAGTTGTTCAAATCCCCGAGGTAGGGATGTGTTTTAATGTAAGATTTATTTGGCTAATCTTTAGAAAGAGAAATGCATTTTCTTCATGGTATTCCAGCATATGGAACTAGTTATCGACACCTCATTAAAAATTCTCAGAAAATACACAAAATGTTACTTCAAAAGTTGAAAAGTTAGTCAAACACATTGAAGTTGGTAAGAGCATCCATTGCTTGTTTCTAGAAGAGATTCCATCAAAGCATGGAATCTCAAACAGGTTGACCCCCAAAATACTGTTGCGTGTTGGTTAGGACAGACTAGGTGGCCAGGCTGCCGCCTCTGTACTATCTGTTTGAATTGGGGCCTATTACCTTAAACTCTGTGCCTCACATTCTTCATTTGTAAAATGGGGACAATAGTAGCAATTACCTCATTGATTGTGGTGAGGATTAAATGAGTTCATAGATATTAAGCAGTTGAGTCAGTGTCTGGCTGATTAAACTAGGTGAAATTATCATTGTTATGAAAAGAAATACAGCTTTGGATACTAGGGACTTTGAATGGCAGCTGACAGAGGTGAGCAGAAGAGGTTCATGTGTATAGTAGGAGGGGGTAAGACGATTTATTGAACATCTCCTAGGAATGCAGATGTTTGACCAGCTGATGTTTGACTTACTGTCTTCCTCAATTTCTCACCGACTTGGTGGCTGCAGCTCCACTTTGGAGTTAAGGAAACTGACACTCGGAGATCAAATAGTAGAAAGCAGAGTTGGAATTGGAATTTTAACCCACATCTATTTCAAACACAGTTATTTTTGATCCTGTTGCCTCAACTTGCCGTTTTTTTCCATTTTGTTTTCTCCTTTAATCCTCATAATAACATTATGAAATAGGTGCATTATTATCTTCAATTTGCAGATGAGGAATTTTAAGTTAAACATTTAAGTATGGAGAGTACTTGATAACACTCATGCCATCCTTCACCATGACTGGGAGCTAGCCATTATTATCATAATTATTGTTAAATAACTTGTTTACGCTAGCTTGTGGCACAGGTGCCAGCAGGTGAATTGTGCCCTTCATGGGAAGTAGAGCATTCCGTTGCTTTTTACTTCCTCAGTCATATACTCAGAGTCCAGTTACAAACATTGCCATGATCTTATAGTTCACAGTGGAAGACAGGGCTCCCCCATTTGTTTCCTGCCTGCAGATGTAACTGCAGCCATCCACACACAGCCCAGCAAACCACCGAAAGCGGCAGTGATGAATCCTCAGTCTGCCACCATCCCTGAGTATGAATTCAGTCCCAGCCCACAACTCTCCTAGGGTTGGGGGCTGGCACATGCCCCACACTGTACTTTACTGTATATTCAGAAAGGGAAATAAGTTACACTTCTCCTTAAATACGCATACTTCCTCTAGCGCTCAGACCTCTCACAAGAAGCAGTTTCAGGGATCTTGGGTGAACTATACTTTGTTAAAAGTCACCAGAGCCTTTAAACTTCTCACCTCACTTCTAGATCTTGGGAATGATTGAGATGCCACCGATTTTTGTGTGTGACTTTCTTAGGTGATTGCCCAGACACTACATAGTGTTCTGGCCCTTGGTAAATATTTGCTCTGTCTTCTAGATATTAAAATCTAATTGTTGTATAAGGCACATAGGCAGCAGACTGCTCACAGACTGATTTAATATTTAAACCTCTTAGCTTGTTTATCCTACCATTGAAATTTATTTCAACAGAGGTTTCTGAGTTGGCTTTCTTTTTTGAAAAATCAAAATTCTCTGTACAGCATGGTACATGGACTGTGTTAGAGAGTATTATACTTTGTGAAATAAGACAGATGGAGAAAGATCAACACTACAATTTCACTCACATGGCATATAGAGAAACCAAACAAATAAATGGACTAAATAAAACAAAAATAAACCTTTAGACTCTAAGACTAAATTAAGTCATTATTTAATTTGGGGGAGGGGAGCAAAGAGAAGGGTGGTAAATCAGGTAAAAGGGGTCAATTGTATGGTGAATGATAGAATTGAACTTTTAAGGGTGAACTTACATACATGTTGATTTTTAATGATGAACACCTGAAATTACATAATATTATGATGCCATGTTATTTCAATAAAGATCCCACACACCTCTGGCCTATACTTTAGTTCTTCTATGCATATATAAATAAATAAAATAAATTTTTTTTAAAAAATTACTTTTTAAAAAATTGCTAAATGAGATCTTAAAAGTTCTCATAGCAAGAAAAAATTAGCAATTGTGTGGTGACAGTTAACTAGACTTCTTGTGGTGATTATTTTACAAAATAAACAAGTACCAATGTATTGTGCTGTGCACCTGACACTAATGTAATATATCAATTATATCTCAATAAAAAATATCAAATTAAAATTCTGGGAGTGAACTTTTCAGATTTCAGTGTGTCTGGGGACACAGTATCACAGATACAGTATAACCAAAACTTGCCATCCACTGAGTCCATGTCTCTAGAAAATGTCTTCTACTTCAATTTTAGCCCTCCTTTTCAGAGTACAGATATTCTGTTTTACTCAACATGTACTTCTGTTTCAAATGCTCCTCTGTTCTGGATTATAGTAAAAGTCTTCCCCAGTCACTATGGTGACTTGAGTTGGGTCCATAATATATTTTTAACTAATTCTTCAGATTTACATACAGTTTTATTTACTGTTATTTCATTTCATTTTATTTTCTCTATGTATTGGCTTCTTTGTAGTCACTTCCAAATTCCATGTAACTTGCCTCACCTCCCTGCTTTTTCTTGCTATCTACATGGACAAAAAATGCAAAGCTAATTTTAATGTGGATATAAGTGAAAGAAAGTCATCTACTCTTCCGGCAATATCTACTACTTTGAATTAAATTCACTTTGGATGTGGAGAGTTGATTATATTTCCACAGCTCTTGCCTCATGCATCTGTAAGATATGTGCTGGGAGGTTGTTCAGATTTCAGGTTGTACAAAGCCAACAGTCCACATGCAGCATGACAGAGCTAGTCCCTCAAGACTGGGAAATGCTGACTTCAAGGGCACAGATTGGGTTTAGGGGAAGATAGCTCTGAGCACTTCCCCCTTCTTTATTTTCTAGGCCTACACAATAAATTGTCTTTATTCACTAGGCCTACACAGAAAGTTTGGCCTGACCAGGAGCCGTTATTGAAAATATAGAACATTTGTATCCTTACTGGTTGTTTCTTCTGGATCAGTACTAGCATGGATAGCTAACACACTGACAGTGTGCCCTGCTGAGAATTTTATGTAAAGCATTTACTGTAATCTTCACCGTGACCTTATGTAGTAGTCACTTTATTATCCTTTTTGCAAAAGTGGTAACTGGGGTGGAGAAAGATCAGGGAACTTGTCCAGGTCCACACTTAGGAGTAGAGCCAAGAGTGGAACCCAGGGCTGTCTGATGAGGGCCTGACAGAGTTTCCACAGCATCCAATTGGGAGTCTTTC